GTGAGGTTCAGTGTGCTTTCTAGTGCAGGAGCCTAGGGTGTTAGGGTTAATGAGAGTGGGCTGTATTATGAAGATGCAGAAGTGACAACCCTCCAAAAAGACATGTGGGTTGTTTTCAACTGTTTCCCTTTCTAATTCCAGAAAATGGATGAGTCTGCCCCATCACCAGAGGATCCATGGACATCTGCACCACTCAAACAACTGGCAGGTAGGAAATAGGAAATCTTTGGCAGTCACATAAGCAGTTTTAGTCAAGTGCTTTTCGAGCACCAAGGTTTGGACAATTATTGATCTGAATAGGAGGAACAAAGCTATTAAAAATCAGCGTCAGACAGTAAAGACAAAAAGGCAAGAATTTAAAATAAAATGACTTCTGACCATCACTGAAATAGAAAAGGGCTTGGCCGAGTACTTTTCATTGTCTTTTCTTCTTAAAGCTTAATTTCTATAAAACTGGGGGTGTCTGAAGTCATGAATTTATTTAGTAATCGGACCTTCGTGCATTTACCATCCAATGTCGGTCTTGTTCAGCTTTCTTCCATCCAATGGACAGTGAACTTGGTACTCGGAAAGTACAGTTGAACACATTTAAACAAGGGCAAATTGCACTGCAGATGTTTTAGACATTGCAGTCACTTTGTTTCCTGAAATATGTACCAGCCATTAGGCCCTCCCCCCAAAAAGTCTCCGGTTTCTGGTGAGGAGCTGGCTCCAAAAGGGGTGCGATGACGTAGCTTTTTTTTTTTACCCTCAACTTTTTTCTGGAAATGACGCACGTATAATGTGCGATGTTCAACACAAAAATAGACTCGCCCCTGCACTTTTTACTATTTAAAAGCAATTTCAGCTTGTACATATACGCAAGATGTAAGACCACCTAGTTTGTCTGGTTCCCAGATGTAAATGTATAATACAGAAATGAAATGATGTCATCTGAAAAGAGTGCCCGACTAATTGTATGGGGAACTAGAGGGACTCCTTACTGTGCATATTACTCAACCGTACCCCATGAAAAACATGTTAAAATTACGCAGTAGCAAGATTCCAGTCGATTAGGCAAGTTTGGCAGCTTTTGGACATCATTTTATACCAAATAAGAACTTTTTTATTTGCTGACGCACACATCTACGGCCACGCGCGCACTGACCAGAAACCAGAGACTTTTTTGGCCTTACTAAATACAAAACACTGCAAACCTTAGTCATGTGTGTTCTTCACAAATATACCTGGACATGTACATTTGATCACATCATGGTTGGTAAGTCTTTACTATACAAAGCTTGTCTCTGGTTTGATTTGGTCCAAAGCCACAACTAATTACGATGGAGGACTTTGAGATTCTTGGTGGCGGCAAACATACATGTACCCGTCCCCTATTCCTTGTGACCAGGGTTAACGATGGTTTGCATCAGAGTTAAACTAATTAGGCAAACAATAGTCCAAGGCTGATCACATGGGACTGGTATGTTTTCTGCCACCAAGTGTCTCAAAAGTCTCCCATTGTAACCTTAAATTTATCTTCTTTGTTTTTCTGGTAGATGTGCATGGAATCACAGATGGAGACAATTGGAAACAGTTTGCCCGGGCTCTGGGCTTCAGCCTCCAAGATTTACGCACCAAATTTGGTCGTAGCTCAGACAAATTTGCCACCATTATCGCCGAGTACCGACGGCAAGGCGGCACTCACAGTGACTTCCTGCAAACGCTGAATGAAGTCGGGCGCGAGCTGCGGGTTGGTGACACGGAAGAACAAGAGAGACAACAGCAGCAGCCAGAGCAGCACCAGCCGCCTGGCTGGTTGGAGATGCTGTCATTCTCTTGGTTTGGTGGTGGAGGCAGGCCTTCGACACCTACCATGACCTCGGCGACGATTACTTCTGAAGGGAATGTAGAAAGTCAACGTGAGTCGCTCCCTCATTTGATGTTTGGCCAAATTGCAAGTTTAACCTAAAATTATTGCACCCTGCTAACTTGGATTTATTGGAGAATTCAGCAGCTAGAATTTGGAGTAAAGATCTGGAATTTAAGGAATTTTTTCAAGGTTTACAAATTCTGCCCTGGGTTAACAATAATTCAAAGCAAAATTCCAAAGTCTCATTAGTCACAAATTCAGTTCCAATGCTAAAGATGGCAAAATTTTGTCCCTTATGTTGGACTTAAAAAAGGATTGAACTGTGTTCTAATATTTTGTTACTGTCAACTTGTGGCATTGTAATACCTTTCTTACATTTCAATCCTCTTTTTCAGCTGGTCCCAGTGGGTTGCATTTAAGCAGCCCTAAACGGAAGCGTGTCTGTCCCACTTGCGAATCTCAAACCCCAATCATACCCCAGTCAGCCAAACGTCTGCGCCGTGAGGCACCCTCATCTGCAGCTGTCACCAGCACATCCACCTCAGAAGAAACCCTTCTAGAGTCTCTTCGAATCAGTCCTGAGCCCAAGTTGCCCACACCGCCTCGCTCGCCCAGTTCTTCACTTCTGCCATCCCTGCCAACATTCTCCCGCTACTCACCCCCTCTGGGAACCATGACAAACAGACATTCCCACGTCTCAGTGGTGCAGACACATACAGGCAGTGCCATGTCTTCAGGACCTTCATCAAGTGAACCAAACCGGGTCTATAACACGCCCCTTACAGAAACCAGATATGGTTCTGTACCTTCAACTTCAAATCAAGTGAGTTTGTAATCTCAGCTCACATTTTTACAATTGAGTCAATTCGAATAATGCAATATTCAACCTTCCAGTTAAATTAATTCTTGAATATTTGGTTGTACCAAATTCCCACAAAAGCTGAATAAACACAACACGTCTTAGTTGCAAAACTGAAAAGTAAAAAGTTGAAGGAAAAGAAATGATTGGCTTTATTGTTGGTCGTATGCATTCAGTTGGGTTGAAGTTTACTCATGAACGCCTTGAAACATGCTTTTAGAATGCAATTTTTGTAACCAAATAATTGAATTTTCCCGTATTTTATTTACGTGGTTATCTTGTATAAATATTCGATTTCAAACATGAATATTCCAATATTCGATAATTGAATATCTCATGTTTAGTCAAAGCATTTGCAACTGGGTATTTGCTTGGACAGACTTTGAGAACTGATTTATAAATTTGCTTGACTAGTTCTTCAAGTTTTTAAACAGTTTAGACAAGTGGGTGAATTCCCTGTCATTGCTGTGAGTTAAAGATTTGATGTACAATGATGACATCTTGTGCAGGGGTCTGATCCAACCAGCCACCACCATGAACGGCTGGTCCATTATCGTCACACTGTTATCCACAGGTCTGCATGTGGTGGGCTAGGATTCAGTGTGAAGGTCTTGGGAGACACAACGCACTGTGCTGAGTTACATACTTCTGACTCTGTTCAGTGATACTGAGCTTGTAACAGTTGGGATCACACATTTTTTCATTTGTAATACTGCGATCATTGAAAATAAATGATCCAATTCCAGTTTGAGGTTGCACGTACATTTTTAGAGTTGGTGAGATTTTGAGAACATGTATTTGTGTATTCTGAATGTTTTATATTGCATTCTACCCACAGTCCATGCCAGCGATGCGTGTACGGCTAGATGAGCAGCTAATGCGGGAAAACACCGAGGAGATTTCCCAGTCCCAGCTATATCGCATCGCACCCCTGATCCAACCTCACTGGATGAAGGTAGCACGTTACGTGCGTGATGACGAGACACTGGAAGCCGATCTCAAAGCTATCAAGGAGAACCACACTGGGCCGGAGGAACAGGCAGTACAAATGCTGCTACAGTGGAGAGACAAATGCCCTGATGTCTGCACCAAGGGAAGATTATATGGTGCTCTGTGTGATCTGAATCTCAAGACGATAGCTAAGAAATGCAATCAGGTGTATAATAGAAGTTGATAGCTACGAAAGCAAGGATGTAATCAGTTGGTGTTGCCTAGTGAATTGCCCAAGCAGTGTACAGGCTTGTGTCTTGTCCATTGTGACCAAGTGTCCACTATGGCCATATGTTCATTAGTGTTGAGTGGCCACTTTGGCTCTGTTTTCACCATGGTCAAGTGTCCACTTAGGGTATGTATCCGCCATAGTCACGTGTCCGCTATTGCCGTGGGTCCACCAAGCTCAAGTGTTCACTATGGCCATGGGTCCTCTATGGTCAAGTGTCCACTATGGCCATGAGTCCACTTAAGCCAGCTTCCATTTATTGCCATTGTGCCACCTGGTCAGTATAGGCTACCTCCAGAATTATCACTACCATCTCAGATGACCAACCTGTCAAAAAAATATTGTTATTCGGCTGTTCCATGAAATGGATGGCTGGTGGAATTTTCAGCAGAGAATGATATCTATTGTGTTTCCCAGATTGTAGAAGTACTGAAATATAAGGAAGATTTCCAAACCTAACCCTGTCGTCAATTTCTTAAGACACTCCATCTAAGTGATTAATTCACTGTATTGTCAGGAAAAAGAACTACCTGTTGTGATGAAGGACTAATTACTGTACAGGGTCATTGCAGAGAATGCTAAGGGCATTTAGAGTAGGTTGAGTTGGGGTTTCTCTGTTTCATGTGCTAACATTTGTCAGGCTTGTTGCACACCGCCACGTTTCAGTTGAATGTAGATGAAACCATGATACTTATTGTCTGCAAGGAATGCAACCGTGCATAATGCTCTTAGTCCCAGGCACACAACCTGTTCAGCAGAATCCATCGTCAATGTCCTGTCCCAAAATACACTTGTGAAAATCTGCAAAATTGGTTGGATTAGAATAGACCAATTGTACTCGCTAAGTCAAATGACCTGTAATGTGTATCCACCATCAACAAACATGCCGTCCTCCCATAACAAAGTGTGACATAAGGGTCATTTACCAAAACTTAAGCCGACGGCTGTTACATTACTCAGACTATTGATGTGCTGAGTACTATACCAAAAAGTGGATTTATTTTTGGTGAACAACACAAGGCACTTTGCTGTGGGAGGACGCCATGTTTGATACCCACTGAAGGTCCTGTGACTCAGTGGGCACAGTTGGCCTGTTGGATCATTGCATTTTATCTGCCTTGGATAAATGAAACATATTAACTAGAAGTACTATTTTACCTACAAAATCTAAAAGAATTTATCAGTACAGTTAACCAAAAAATGGGCCCACATTCAGTACTATATGGATTTATGCCCTTCAATAAATTGAAATTGGAAAATCCCTGTGTATTATACTTTCGTACACTTTAAATCCTAAATCAAAAACTCAGGAATGTAAATTAATTGTTGCTAATCCTCCTGTGACAGAAGATGTCAATATTATGTAAATCAATTATTTTTTACAGATGAGTACTACTGTGGTGCTTTCCGAAATTTGGTGAATATTTGAATGATCAATATTGTCACATTATCACAGTGGCCGTGCCTGTCATGTATCAAAGTTTAAGACAACAAAATTCCTCCGGATACAGTTTTATATTAACACATATTATTTCTTCTGTCATTGGAGGGTGTTTCTAAGAGATTGTGTGCTGTCCAACAGGTTTATCCATCAAGGATATGTTCACAACTTTGTAAGTATTGTATATATATTTATCAAATTACCTCGCATGAGATTACTTTTGTTAGAAAGATTTTTCTCACTGAATATCATGGGGGATGAGACGCCTAAAAGGCATGTTCAGTTCCTCAGATTCCGTATTTTGTTGGTTTCTAATTGTCAACAAATCAGGAGAAATGTTGGTTGCTGTTACCACAGCTGATTTCAAAGTTTTAGGAGCTGCCCATCACAAACTTTGACAAGAACATTCAGTTTTTGTAAGAAATGGATTGGGTTTTTAACTTACTAAATACTGTAAATAAAGTTTGTATAAATCATAAGAGTTTATTAGAGTTTTACAAACGTGAACAGGTACTTCGCTGTTTTGGAGAGATATTTTTATGAAGGTTTTTTATCTATGAGAAATCTTCGTTAGATCTTTGTGAATACATGTAAAGTATGTGGTTTTTTTTGTTTATGGTTACAGACGTACTATGCATGTCAGCCATTTCAACACCACTTTTTTTGGTTTTTGTTTTGAATTTTACGTTATGTGGCAGTAATTTCTGACGTGAACTTCTTGCATCTGGAGAATTATGCTTTGAAACTTTTGAGGAAGTTTTGTTTGTGGGATCATTCACAACACAGTCTTTTTGTGGTCTAAATTGCACATTGGTCTGTCATAAATATTGCATTTATTGTCGCTTCACCAGTGTGCTTCGTGCTTACTGGTACTTTTGATTTACTTCTGCTAAATTTGAACAGTTTTGTTTTGCTCTCCCAACTTTTTACAAGCTTTAAGAGATAGCAAAATCTTATTGTATCTCTTTCACAGGGTTACCTCAAAAGCACTTAGTGGGCAACAGAAAATCATCTGTGAGCAAAACCTCCATTTTACAAATGTTAAGTAGAGCGCATGAATTAGTGTGTGCAGTCTTGTCAGAGTGAAGATATTCCCACAGTATCTGGTATTGTTTACAGACTATTTACTGCCAGATTTCCAAACATGGCTGAAGTTTTTCATTGCTCCACTCCAGCAGACCTGGATTTTTTTTATCCCCTGACCTCTGTGTCATCTGCCCTCTTTTCTAAGTTTTTTTTTTTTTTTTACCTTTTTGAATTTTTTTATGGAGCAAGCCCATTATATTTTTGCTGTGTCTTTCTAGTTTGTCGAAGTACTGTATCAGTCAAAATAGAATGACAGACATTCAGACTATTTTCCTGATTGATTAATTAACTACTGCTGCATTTGCTTATGTTATGGCGGGATTTTGTTTGGGATTGAATTGAGTGAATACTCATTGTTTGGACCAGTACAACTTACATCTGTGTGGACAGTTTTCAACTGTGAAATTTTGTCTTGTTTTCTATATCTTGATAGTAATAAAGATACTGAATTCCATTCGTGAAGTAAATAAAGATTGCGTTATTTTCCTCCTTTAATATGAATTCGTTTTTCTCCTCATTAAGAGTTTAATTACAAACTTTATCTTGCAAGGAGCTTTGAAATGGTAGGTACATTTGAAGATAGGATCCTCACAACTAAATTACAACCGCAGTCATCATCTAAATCGTAAAATAACCAGTCATCAGAGTAATTGTTTTTTTTGCCGGTCGTCTTGTATTGATATCATACTTGAATTTCAAATAGGCCAACGCTCATGTTTTAATTATAACTCCAGATTTTAACGTCTCGCCAGACTTGGCAGGCGGTACTTATGATTCAATAGAGGGCGCTGTAGCGATATACACAAAAGGCCGAATGAGCTTGACATATCCATCTTTCAGTGTTATTGAGCTGAATTCATTCTTTGAATGTAAGCGTTCGAAACCAAATCATCAAATTACTGCAGTGAATTAGAAACAAGACAAAAACCAAAACAACCTCCGTAAAAAGATGAATTGGCGGAACTTATTTTTAAAATAGGGTGTGTTCTTTTGACGTCACAAGCGTGTTTTCCTACAAGTAGTTGCTAGAACTTTGGCTGGCCGTCAGTACAAAAGTAAAATAATAATTCAAAGTGTTAAAAATCCCATGCAGCTATTAGAACACCGCATAACAATAATACAACTACTACTAAATGAAAAGACAACCGTATTCAAACCTCAAATAGTGGGAATGTCAATTTTGAACGAATTTGAGGAAAACTTGTGATAATACCCAATCAAAATGTGATTTTTCTGTGATTTAATGTGGACCGCCCATACAACTTGTAGGAATAATCTTTATTAAGTAGAAGTCACTTATTCTTTCCACAAAAGAAAACCTTGAATACTGGATTTGAAAAGGCTTCGCTGACAAATACAACAAAAATGGCACAAAATAATGCGGCTTTGGTAGGCGTGTCCCCCCGGCCCCTTACGTACATGTACACACGCAAATGGCTAGTGCACGAGCGCGTTGAGCCGCATGTCACGTGCACGTATTCACCAATCACACAAGAGCAGTGTTAGTCTATGCCGTCGTCCATTTTATACATCGTGCATGATTTGCATACAGCGATTCAACTCGCCGGGATCCGGTAGGGTGAGTCACGCCGAAACTCTTTTGCCGAAAGATTGACCGCAAACCGAAACCAACGATCGCCAGCCGCATTCTAAATTCCTCTTCACGTGTATGAGAAGCTTTAGTGCTCCTAGGCGCAATTTAGGAGAATATTGATGAGAATTAAGGCTCAAAAACTATCGTGAAGTTTAGTTGTAAGTTCGTATGGTTAACGTGCTGCCATACCCTCGTTGCTAGTGAGTGCGGAAGTTGTCAGGATTCAAAATGGCGGCAGCCGAGTTGAAATATCTGATCGTAGACAAGGATTTGGTGAGCGATCCAGCGACCCAGGCGGAATGGACGTCCAAGAGGCTGGTCTGGGTGCCGGACGAGACCCATGGCTTCGTGGCGGCCAGCATTAAAAGCGAGAAAGGCGAAGACATCACCGTGGAAGTCGCCGAAAACAACAAGACCCGTGTCGTGAACAAGGATGACATTCAAAGGATGAACCCTCCCAAGTTCAACAAAGTCGAGGACATGGCCGAGTTGACCTGTCTGAATGAAGCTTCAGTTCTCAACAATCTCAAAGAAAGATACTACTCTGGGCTGATATATGTAAGTGCTCCCTTTTGAAAAAAAAGTTAAAACAAACCAACATAACAAAAGCTCTTAGTTAGTCCAGGCATAAGTGTAGGGCCGATGCATTTTGTTTTCATTGCTCATATAAAAAGGAAATGTTGAACGCGATTGGCTGATCTGCATAATTATTTGATTACTCCACACAATTGGTCGACCTTGTATGAAATCACAGGAACTTCCTTTTTTGGAAACTGAAGTTTTGAAGAGGCCACATAGGCCAATGTTTGGGATTACAATGCAGGGCCTAGGCCTATTTGATCATGACTTGCTTTCATTTTCAAGTCAAATAAAATGTTTAGAGGTTTGCTTTCGAGTAAGTCAATCAATTGTTTGTGCCCTGGCTTTGAAGTATTCAAACTTCTCTTCCAGTTCCCAGTCTATCAAACTGGACAGACACCAGTAGGATAAATAAAAAACTTTTTTATACGGTTTATATGGACTGACGAGACCTGGTCTGTTCTATCACTGTGGATTAATGTAGGTTGGAATTTTGAATGGATTTTATTTCGGCCAGTTAAAATTGGTGTGAAGGTTCACATGTCACTCATACATATGTCAGACTGAACAAAACTGACAGGGCAGTGAATTTTGTATTTGATGAATTCCGCTTCACATTTTAAAGTGAAATAAGTAGGCAAGAAATTTGCCTAAAGAAATTCGCTTTGTTGAAGAAAACAAATGCACTTTGGGCAGTTGTACCAGCAGGGTGGCAATGTAAAGGAGTCTTTCCATATGCACGTCAACAGTTGTGCCAAACATTACGTAAGGTTCCGTCAAAATTGCTCCTGGGGCAATTTTGACAGCTGAACACAATGCACAAGTGTGCTAGATGTTAATGGAGTCGAGCTTTGTTTCCGCGAAAGTAAACGTTTAAACGCATCGTTTATGCAGCGCACCCAAAAAACGTGCATAAGGGAAGGCACCTTAAAGCATGCATTACTTGTAATCGAGGCCAATGATTTCCAAGGGGTATGTTTGGAGTGTTCGGTATTTTGTAATTTCCCTGGTATCGCAAACCTGACTGCCACTCCCTAATCAAATTTCCCTCCTTGAACCGCTGAATGATGCATCATTTACATACCAATGCTAAAATAGATTTCTTCGTATTCATCCTGATAGTCAACAGGAATAAATAATTTATTTTCTTAATTTGCACGGTTCAGTTGTGCAAAAGCCTCATGTATATGGATAAACAAGGAGGTCAAAGTAATATCAGTTACATGTATTCAGTAGAAATGTGCCTGACAGACTTTAATAGCTAGTAAAATACTTTGTCTTTTTTCGTGTGAAAATTGACTAGTTTGGGGACGCTGGATATTTTGACAGTATTTGGCTAGCCAGTTTCTCCCATGCTTGACTGCTTCTGGAATCTGTGGCTGCCAGGATTCTTGGGATTAAAAGAAAAAAAGTGTCCACATTCCAGAGGACAATAGGTTGGCATAGTTGGGATCCAAGGCTAAACTGGGCCACTGTTTGCACAATGATCCTGCAGATTAACCACAAAAAGTCACCCCTGATGATGTATGGATCTTACACAGCGCTAATCAAAGCTTGAACTGGCAGTCTTGATACTTTGATAGTGTTTATGTAGGCCTACATGAACCTGTGCTTGCCCAACAACACACAGAAACAAGTTTTCTTATTGATAACGTGAGTTGTAATGGTGATTTGTATATTTACTGAAGGCATAAAAGCAAAACTGATTTCTGAACGTGAATAGCCTGTATTCATGTGTCACTGTCAGCCATTTTGACTTGGAAGTAAGGTTAACTTTTCATTGTGGGAGCTTGAGAGTGAAAAGAACAGCAAGGAAATGAAAGCCCTTTACAAACTGATGCCAAAAGTTGTGATGAATTACTCAGGAGGTGTGATGTCTCAGTTCAGTGTTTAGTTATAGTACAGGGAAAATTCCTCATGTTAGGTCTGATGTTCTGGTGACATCATCCATTGATTACTTCCTCTCTGCTTCCTTGGGCTAATCGCTTGAGTTGGCCGTCTGACAAGCCGAATGGGGAACATGACATCAATAAATGTCAGAGGTCAGCTGAGGTCAGTAACCTCTAGACTCCATATAAGCCACCTTGGATGCCAGCCAGAGTAAGCCTTCCATGCATTAGTAAAGGCCTTGAGGAATATCCAGAGTGTGAAGGAATGCAAGGGGACCTGTTGGATGGACCCCATTTGAAGGGAGGCAGTTGTTTGGAAGAGCTCTTAAATAAAACAGTTTCAGAAAACTTGAAAGAAGAAACGTCTTGGCTGAGCAACGTGTACAACATGTACTTGTGTTTGATTTATTCCACTTGGATCAAATCCAATCCAACAGCGACAACAGCAGATATCTTGTTAACTATTCAGATAAATAGAAATTCAATAAAATTTTTGTCCATTTTGGACACGTTTAGGATCAACTGGTGTAACCCTAACTACCCCAAACCTGCCATACTCCAACAGCAGGTTTTGTGAGGTTTTGGCAGGTTTGGTACCTTACCTGATGAGGATGAAAGGCCCAGGGAGATGGTGTTGGATTCTGTGTGAGTTGGGACACACACGGGTCATTGTGTGCAGTGACTGGCTTGCTGTACCAATTGTTGGACTATGCTTGATTTTGTCAGGTTTGGTACTGTTCAGTGCAAGTCATCCTATACTGCATAGACCCATTCATACCATATCACTCAAACTCCAACGGGCTCATTCTGTTGGAGTTTATCAGGTTTGGTACACTAACGTACATGTACAAGTACATAGACAAGTACATGAACCTGTTGGATTTTGTGAGGTTCAGTGTGCTTTCAAGTGCAGGAGCCTAGGGGGTTAGGGTTAATGAAAGAGTGATGTGTTTTTGACTGACACATTGGGCTTAATTTGATTCTTGAAATGAGTGTGGAAGTGCCAGAGCTATACTGAACATTCGGCTGTACTGAACATCGTCCTTGGCTCCCAATATTTTGTGAACAAAACCTACCGGTACTAAACATTATGTAATTGCAAATCAACAGAGATTCGCCACAGCATGCATCAGAGATTGATTCTAAGCGGTAGCTTCACGACTTTTAGGATTTCGTAACTCAAGATTTAATAAAAAGCAAAAATAATTAACAGTTACATTTCTAGAAACTTCAAACATGAATGCAACGGCAAAACATCATGAAAACAGCGAATCATAGTATCACAAGAGGGTGCACTTCAGTTAGACAAGAGGGTGCTATTCAACATGGCAACGAAACGTTCGGCTGTTAATTTTGCTATACCGAATGACTGCTGTACCGAACATTTAGCGTGGACCCCGTCGTGTTCGTTATAGCGGTGTTCCACTGTATCTAGAAAACATACTACAGTTTGTCACTCATCATTGTTGAAAGGGGATACAGATGTTTAGGGGAAGTAATTCAGAGAACACTTTTCTTGGATGACACATAATTTGTGGTTTATTGCAACAGTTATCAAAAGCAGGCCATCACCAATGACAACGAGGTTCAGTGCTTTCGCTAGTCTATACAAACATCATGTACACCATTTTGAATTAAAAATAGATGAAATACAACTTGAGTGTGCATTAGTTTGGTAAACTGATAAATCATAGGCCTACCTACCGGTACATGTATCAACATACACAAGAGAAATGGCTAAGTGGTGAGTCATCGTGTATGGTTTGTATGACTGATGCTGTAACATTGAAAACTTGTCTTCGTTAGGCGATTAGTGGAATATGGTACAAAACCTAGAAAGAGCCAATTTCTAATTGTGTTGCATTTTAATTTTGTTGACTGCACAATGGACCAGAATGAGGTTAAGACAACACAAGTTGGCCTGACCCGATGCTGTGTGATATGATGATGATACTGTTAGCCAAAGTACCAGCTTGTATGGCAGACATACATGTACATGTACTGTCTGGAACCAGTGCCATATTGTACACTGTCATCAACTGTGATGTGATTAAGGAATTACAATGCTGTCGGATTCTATCAAGCACAGTATTACTGTGAAGACTTGATCCCCCAAAGACATGCATTCACCCTGCCCGAGATCAAGGCCTAGTGGTGGATGAGTACATTTGGGACTGTAAATCAGTGGATTTCTTCTTGTATTGGAATCCATCTGAAATGTGACAAAAATACATACCTACCGTAGATTTATGCAAATTATGTATTTATACTAGTCTAATGGAAGAATTATCTTTACGGTTAAAGTTGATATTTTAATTTTAATGTTTATTCCAAAACATTACCCCTATTGTTTTTTTTTCTGATGTAATGGAAAAGTATTTCATTGAGATAATCATCCATTATCGGGTCAATCTATTATTGATAGCAGAAATCTGATTTCAAGGTATTGATAATCCCCCTTTGGTGTTTTCGAAACCCATTAAAGTTTTGGAATTAGTGCAGGGTATGTACAGGTACATGTACACCCTGATTTTTTCAATGTCTTGTTCAGTATTTGGAGACAACAGTTTGATTCATTCCATGGACACTGATTCCACTGTAGTTTCAAATTATCAAGTGATGTCATGTATGGAGGAACACTCATCCCTTGTTTTGGTCAGATCACTTTTGTGACATTTAATGATCTTGCATTGTATTTGCGTAAGTTTCCAGACTGAACAGACTAAACACCAAATTCCACAGGAATGCCCTAAGGGGGTTCAGTTATCAGATCAAGGGGCAATCCTGGGTCTGTACAGTCACCCTTTCTTTCTTGGAGCAAGGAGGGATAGTTTAAGGTGCTGTAAGAAGCTATCTTGCTGATAATGTGGAGGCAAAGATTTTGTGGAACAGATCCACACTAAACTTGAGATGAAATGCATTTGCTTATCATTTGACACGGTAATTAATCTGTGTTATTACCCTGTCTGTGTTATTTCATGCCCGAGTGGTGTTATTCTACATGTGAAGGTATATCACAATAGAAAGAGTGGTCACAGTGGGCGTCTATATGATTACGTACTGTATATGTAGTCACGCACTTCCGAAACTAACATGCCATACTTGTTTTCCTTCCATATTTGGTTTTTGCACCTGTGGTTTCATGCCAGGTGTTTTCCAGAAAAAATGTGAAGGTTGGGGGCATGCGGACCATGCCTGCCATGCCTAGCACATGATTGGTACCCTGCCCCGGAAGCAATGGGGTTATAAGTGATTCATTGTTGCATACCAGGCTGCGAGTGGACATTCTTGTCAAATGTGTCAGCCAGTGTGGATAGACTTGACAATGAATCTGATGGAAATGTACATACTGTGTGGCTTTGGTGGAGGTAACCATTGTTCCCTAATCATATGCAGTTTTCAAAGGAGAGGGAAATGAAGTGACTTGTTATTCTGTCAAGTGTACTGAGATCCTGTGGGGGAGAAGATTGCTATCTACATGTGCACATGTGTAGATTCCATTTAGTTTCCAATATTGGTTAGTTACAGATATGTACAATGTACATGTGTTGTTCACCTTGAACTTCCTGAAGTTATTTGGTATAGCAGCTACAGAGTATTATTGACAGATAGAAAAGAAAGCAATTTCCCAAAGTGAAGCAAAGTCCTCCTAAATATATGTACATGATCTGCCACCTTTACATTTACATGAAGTTGTCTCTGATAGCTTTATGCTGGAGATGGTCATTGCTATGCATTATCAGATGTCATGTTACACTTGTGCTTTGCATTTAGAACCAATTGTTCTGGGTTTTGTTTCACCTTGTTTGCTGATCTAGAAATGCATTCAATTAAATTTCCATGCCAAGGATGGCTTTGGAGTATTCCATTTTTACAACTTGAAAAAAAAATGAAATTTGGAATTCCCAAGTTTTTCTGAATTCCCAGTCTAAATTGCTTACACCAAGGAAAACTTTAAGTATCCTTTACTTTTCATTAAAACATATCAGAAAATTGGAGCAGGGTGACGTAAAATGTTGGAGGGAGGGCTGTCCTTGCTAAACTTGTTGCTGAAAATGCAGAACCAGCAGAACTTTGTAGCCTCAGCAAACCAGAGTGCAGTTCCCTAACAGCCCTGATGCTAATGACCCATTTTACTCATCAGATAAACCATAATGCTCGTATGTCTCCTGTCAGTACATCAGTAACCAGAAATTGTACTGAACACTTCTTGCTATCAGGCCTTGCATTGTTTGGCTCATGAAGCCACTTCACTGTCACCAAGCTGTCAGGGGTTGAAATCACTGAGGAGTGGCAGCCCAGGCCATTACTAGGTCGAATTCTTTATTCTTTTTATCTGTCTGGTTTGGATGTTCATTGAAGCTAAAGAGTTTGTTATGAAGTTGGTAGACATTTCTTTGTTGGGATTTTTCTGTTCTTAAAAAGTGGTCATTCTGTGTAACCTCTTCAATGTAAGAAGCAAAAGGAGTTGGCTGCTCAAGTTTATCAACATAAGCGAGACCTGTCCTTACATGTTGGTGTACCAGGTGCAGGGAGTAACTCAGACATACTTACATGTATGTAATGCTGAATGTTTTAGTAAATCTTGTGAACACAAATGATACTTGGATGTCACGGATCAGCATGGAGTTGGCAGTCTTTAAGAATCAAAGAGATTTGCTCAAGTCAGCACGAAGCTCTTATAAGCCACAATGCTTTGTGATGAATGCAGCGTGGGACTGTTTCCTACTTGCTAAGTACTGAGCAGTATTTTCTGCAATAAGCAAAACATGCTGAGTTGGTAAGCCATGTTTGCACTGGTTGTAATAAGCATTATGTACTATGTACATACCACTTACCAGACCTGAGGGGCGTGGTACTAAACAGCAGGAAATGAAACTTGCTTGGTTCCCACAGCCTTGGCTTGTAAAAGCACCTGTGCGTTTTTCTGTATCCGCCTCTTCATTGCTACCCTAGGTCGCCCACTCCATTGAACCGTGCTTGGACTTGTAAGAATTAACTACACAAGACAGGAATTGGGACGAAAACAAAAAGCAAAACAAAGACCAAATCAGAGACAAAAACTACAAACAAAAACACAGGCCAAAAAATAGGAAAGAAACCATTACATGTTTGAAAAAGGAACATGGAAATTGACATAAATGCAAACTTGGGTGTTGTACATGTACATATGCACCATAAATTTCAGCATTATTTTAAAAACTTTAGAGTATTGTATCATCAGGTTGAAATATCTTTATCCTCTTGAAGACGAAAACCATGCGACATGTAGGTTGTTGAAATTGATACCGTGCATGTCTACTTCTACAGTGTATTTCCCATAGAAAATATGGAACTTTGGTCATGTGAAATGTTTGTAATCGAGACACACAGTTCTTGTCTGTTTCCCATCAGTGCAAAAGGGTTGAAAGGACCTTACAGTAGCCTCCAGGATTCCTTCAATGGAGACCTCACCCCAATAGCTCACCAATTCCAGCTCTCACAAAACACCAGCATTGGTGAGGATTTGGCACAATACCTGTCCGGGAGAAAAGAAATCCAGGGTCTTTTTTTCACTTTGCTGTCTGTTTGTCTGTTTGCATTCCTCTGGGCCTTCTTTCCTGTTCAAGAGCACAGTTGACTTGGTAGAACAGCCTCAAGGTACTGATGAACAGTAGCAGGTTGAAGGAAAACAGGATGCTGGCGGTCCACCAGACTGGATTTGCACGCAATATTGCACAGCCACTTTGATTCAGCGTACCAGCCTCTATCCCTTAAAGTGCGGCCGACCTTTATCTGACACTAGAGACATCTGCTGAGATGTGTTGTGAAAAGAAGAAAAAAGAAATTACCGTCCTTACACACATGAGTGAGAGAATAGTGCCACCGATGTAATTTGATGGAGATGGACTTGGCGTTGACTCTGTACATGTCATACTGGTGCGCTAAGATGCTCCATTAGGAAAACTTACAGAAAGATTTGATCTTAGTGAGAAGTTCCATGATTGCCCATTATGAATGGATTAGTGTTATGGATATAGACATACTGTACTTCTAATATATGAATTTACAATGTGCTACAAATTCTCCAAATCTAATTCAGTGTCCATCCAATGCTACATTCCTATGGTAATAAACCCACTCCTAAGAACTGTACGAATGTATAAATTTTATTGTTCACGTAAACAAAACTTTGTAAACACATGAGACAAAACAAAATAACCCCTCTCCCCCAAAAATTGGGAGTGATACATGTACATATAAATAGGTTTTAATCTCAAGCAGATAGCATTCCATGTTCCGAGAAAGCTTTCATAAGCTTGTGTGAGTGGGACTTCAAACCACAATCCTGTATTTACAAGTGTACAACAATGTCTTCATCATTTCACGATCGAAATCTAGAGACAAATCGAGTTAAGACAAGACTAGATCAGAGCCTCGCTTGACCTTCGACGTATTTGGGAAACTAGAAATGTGTTTCTGAGATGGTGATTTTTTACAATCACACACAAATTTCTAATGCATAGTCTGTATTTATTGTGCACACCTGTGCAGAATTCGTGATTCCTCCTCTAAAATCTATGATCACGGAAACATCCCACTGCACATTCTTGACAATACTACCATCACTTTCAAGGGCATGAAACCGTTTTGTAGAGTTGAGGGTTTGGACTCAACCTTCCTCATTCCAACATAAACTCAAACCAAGTGTTAGATTTTGAAGGATCGGGGAGGGTTTAGATTTCACTTTGGATGGAACACTGACCCATGACAATTGCTGTTCTTTCCCTCATGCAGACATACTCCGGCCTTTTCTGCGTGGTAGTAAATCCTTACAAGAGGTTGCCCATCTACTCGGAGAAGGTCATTGAACTCTACAGGGGCAAAAAGCGTCATGAAGTCCCGCCCCACGTCTTTGCTATCACTGACGCGGCTTTTTACAGCATGCTGCAAGGTGAGTCCAGGACCGGAAGGGAGGGGTGTTGAGTACAGTGTTAGAGTCGGTCATATTTTAGTGTACATGTAATGTACAAGTAATGGTGAACAGAAGGAACGAAATGACCAGTCTCTCGCAGGGGACTCTAGATCGCTGTTCAGTGAATTTTTCTATCCAAATTGATTAAGAGTTCAAATTTTAAAAATCTTCCAGGTAAAAATATGAAATTTTTATAATATCTAATTTTTTTTCTGGGGTTTTGTGGATTTTTATGCCAGTCAGTGGGCTGGTTTCATCAAGCTTAGTGCCAGACAGTAGAATGCTGTCGTGGAGATCTCCAACTAACCTAGCTATAACACTGGCTGAGTACATGCTCTTGAGTTCTCACCCCGAGTGTGTGAAAATGCCCAAAGCTGAAGTGAATCAACTTAGTATTTCAGTTAGTCAAGGTCGTTTATGGTAAATTCACTAAATTCAGTATCAATTGAAATATGGATGTCACTCTGGCTTAGACATATTCAGTTTGCCATACATTTCCCAAGATGAAGCTGATCCCAAGCGATCCACACGATGGGTTTCATTTGTTTACGTACACTGTTTGAATTCTGAAATAGCTCATTTTAAGTCACTAAGGTCAAAGGTCAGTCACACCAAGTGACATAATCGGACACAAAAAGTTGTGCCATGGAACCTTGCACAACAAACAGTATTGCTCTTTATTTTGTTTCCAGTGACCATGGTAACTGAATTTTTAATGACTGTTGTTACCAGTGAGTGGTACTTGTAGGCCACCAACCAGAAGACATTCTGGATTTCGCTTCACGCGATGTTCATTTTCATCGTTTTGTTGGTGATTGCTTGCATGTTTTGTACATGAAAGAAGGCCAAATGTAGGGTCATCTGACCATCTGTTAGTGTTTGACACATTGCCAGCATGTGAGGCAATTTTTTCTCCTGGCATGACACTGTTTTACCAAACAGCTGGATGTGGTACAGCTTCCGTTTAGAAGTGAGAAATTGGCTTGATGAGAACTTCACTTTTGGGTGTGTACTGTGAAATCCTAGAGTTTACACATAGCTCACTTGTGCCAATCACGTGTACATGTACCCTCTGCAGCACTCGTGCAGAATCTGGCAAGGTAACCAGCTAAGCTACGAATGGCCCTGTCTGGTTGTTCGTACATCAGTCCAAGAAACGATTAACTCATATACTGGAACCAGTAGATCTCTTAGCTCTCAGTCCTCCATGATCACTCATGAACATCCTACGCAAAAATTAGAAGCTTCATCTGAGCAAAGTTCACCTCCTGTATTTTACACACACCCATACGTGGAAGTGTACATATGTGCACATATGTACCATCCTGGTTATATAGACATGGTTGCTTAAATGCTGGTTGTTTTGACAGGTTTCGGTTGGTGTTTATAGCCCAGCCTTTGTGGTACATGTACATGTATGTTTGTATGATCAATTTCATTTGTATTAAGGTTATGTCTACAGTCAAGGGCTTGGTCTAGGTTTATTTAAAATGCACGCATGTGTGCGTGCATGCACATGTTAATGTCACACCCACTCTTCCTGTGGTAATGAATGAATTCCTGCATGTTGAAGCCAATGAATCTGTCAGGTCTCATAGTGTAATGCTTGGCCCCGCTGAAATCATTTTTGTTTTTGTTGGCAGTTTAATTTCTACATGTACCATTTTTTATTCCACACACAGCAGGCTTTGGATTTTGTCAACTCTAAGATACTGGTCAGTTTTAAGCTTAAACAAATGCAGGCACCGGTACCTCCTATTGAGGTGAAGAATTGTACACATGTACTGTTACATGTACATGTACATACATGAAGCCCCACCCAGCAAGGAGACCATTGCTATATGAACAGGAAATTACAAAGGAACCTGGATTTGGTTGGTTGTTTCACAGGTAAAAGTATTGTACATGTACCTTACTTTCAGGAAGTGTTACCTGCGATGTACATGTACATGCCTCTATCTGCATACCAACCCCTGGTATATAAACAAGGACACATACGTGTAGTTGGAGTGCAGACACACTGAAAAGGACAATACAAACTTGTACATGAAGCTGGCCTGACTTGGTTGGACAATCAAAACATGACCATCAGCAAGAGAAACAAACTCGACGTTGATCCAGCAATATGCATTGTTCTCATTTCTATTGTCCTTTAGTTTGATGCAAATTGGCAGAATAAGCCGGACCAGGCCAAACCCATTGAGACCAGGATTGAGGGTTTGTTTAAAGCTTTGACACGTACATGTACATGTATTGTGTACATGTAATCTTGCACCAGCTTGATAATTCTAAACAGTTTTCATCCACTGAAATGTTCCGCAGAAGTTCTTTGCATGTTGTTGTACAGTGAATGTCCCAAGCCCACTGCTATACTTGCTCTTTATAGAATCTTATTCCATTCAGTATTTCTGGACCCCGTAGAGTTAACAAAAAAGACATTGTTGTCTTCTTTTCTAAATGCAGTCCTTATTTATTTTATCAGTAGTCTTTGTTCATCCAAACATTTGCGTACCTACCAATCCATATGATGCCACAAACGGTATCGAATACCCTATAAACTTTCCAGGAGTCCCTCATTTCGAAACAGTTGACTTGAAGTTTCCTGAGAGGTCATGCGGAGGTCAGTCCACGTTGGAAAAACCAGCGATTTGGCTGGGTTTATATTGTAGAGTCAAGGGAGACTTCTTTGGGAATGATTCCATGAAAATGTTTATTCTGTCTGCAAAACCAATTCCATCCTGTGGGTATGATCGCTACACTTCCTTCGCGAATTCATGTCTGCAATGTTTTATTAAGCTGTGTACATGTGCAAGTTTTTGGCTTGCTTTTAAGAATTTTCAGTCATCCTTCGAATAACAGACACAATGAAAAAGTGCATGTACGTAGAAATATGGTTTGTGTTTTGTTTTCTTTTGATTCTGAAGAAAGGTGGGATCTTGTTCATCTTTTGAATATTCATGTGCATGAATATTACATTTCAGTATTTATGTACGTCCATTTTGTCAATTTTTTTGTCATCATGTACATGTACACATGTACTGTAGGTTCGCATTTTCAAAGGTCGGTTATAACTTACATTCTGCATTGAAAGGCTCATAGTACCTGAATAGCTCGGGCATCCATGTCAAGAATTTTAGGTCATGTTTCAACAAGATAAACACCTTTTTGACCTCAAGCCTTGAAGTTGAACGCTTGGTGGCAAGTATGCCTACATGCAGTTAGCCTGCTGGTAGTTGTTGATTTCTTCCACAGATATTGTAATTTTGGATTCCATAAATTGGCTAAGTATTCAAAGCATTCAGAGGTTTTGCGTTCTAATCTGTTTCTGATGTGTGAAAGAGAGTCATTTTCCACCACATTCTTTGTTATTGTCTGGGAATGTTTGGCTTCTTTTGTCATGTTGGAGATTTGAAGTGGTGTGCTCAGCCATATCGCCTGCCCAAAATACCTCATTGACTGGTGATGTTTGTTGTTTACTGCTTTTACACCACGGTTTGGTAATAGAAGGCAGGATTTCCTCCCTCACAGCAATTCCACTGCCTTCTTATTTTTTTTATCAACTGACATCCAGGCAGGAGATTGGTTTCCTGTAGGTGAATGGAAGGAACGTAATGACCTCATTAGAATGCCTCTCAGTAGTTGGTACCTTGGTGTATGTGCGATACCTGGAGTGGAAGCTCACCAACCCCCAACTGGCAGGGTACCATCTGTTATGTCAGGAGACAGTTTGTCCAATCATGCAATGTTAATACGTACCAATTGTGTCTACTGATGAATTTCAAGTTTTGGATTCATGGATTGTAGCATTGCAGTGGAGGAAAGTAGACAGAATTCCAGGGTGGAAGTGGGGTTTGGACTGCAGCTCTTGAAGCACCAATACATGTACATGGAGATGAAAGTATATTTAGACAGATAGAATTGAAAAGTATTAATATGGCTTAGGTTGGGTATCTTGATTTGTGTACTTGCCAGCCAGAATGTGGCCTGAATTTTATTTCAAAACAGGACTCATGAAATCATTGTGAGTTGTAAAAAGTGATTGATCCAGAGTCTGGAAATCGTTGAATATTGGGGCAAGTGGATGAAATGGCAAGATTTTTTACTGGAAGAGGTTGCTCAGCAGGAGGCCTGGAGATCCTGTGGTTTCTGGGAGCAGATACCATCAAGCAGAAGGAGGTTTTATACCTGGAATTTGAAACCTCTGTCCTGAGGTCGTATATCTCCACTGGTCACCAATGACATTACTTGGAAACTTCAGTAGTTTTTGTCTTTGACCTTTGGTTGTTAGCAGCAGGGTGCCAGTTTCTGGCATGTTGGTGGTTGGCATTGGATGTCAGCTCAGGAATTCAACCCTCAGTCAGTCTTTTATTGGATGGAGTTGTAGGATGTATGGAGTTTCACTAGTGGTTGACCACTGTGACTTAAGTTTCAGGACTGTAGACACCACTTCTTTTTTTTTCATTTTTGTGGCAGGAATTAAAGCAAGAGTTGATTTCATAAATTTTAAGTAGTATTTGGACAACTTCACCATGTAATCTGCAGAAACAAACACTGGTTGTGAACAACATACAATTCTTCAATATAACAAAGACAATTCATAATATTTGGTGCTAAAAGACCAGGGAAACCAGTACTGGTGTTTCTGATTTGTGCTTAAAAACTCGTACAAGACTACCCTTGACATGTACGATAGGCTGACATATTGTAGAATGCTGTAGAACGAAACGATATCTCCTCAACCAATAAAATATTCAAAGTTTACAGAAGCATAGTCAGATTAGGTAAACGAGCACTACACATGTTCACATTTGCCAAGACTACAGCGCATTATGCACATGAACATGAATACATAATTACATTACACCTTGGGGTTATTGCAGGAAGTTAGAAGGCCAAGTGAAATCAATTACTGCCCAAACTAGCTTATACCTCCAGTTAATCGGCATAGATACAGTATTCCCTTCCCTCGTGCTCACAAAATGAGATTAAACATGAATAATTTTTGTGTTGGTCCAGCTGGCCATGTGGGCCATGGGACTGTAAGTGCACTGTTTTTCTCTGACTGGAGTGTAACCTGTAAAACCACATATCTGGGTTACTGTCCAGAGTTTACTTGTTTGTAGGTATAGGTAAGCGTTGAATGTTTGCCACATTTTTTGTTTTAAATCATACTCTTACAGAGATGGAAATGATCTGACCCTGTTTCAGTTGACATCTGCTCCCTTGGAAATCTAACTTTAAGCTCAATCCAATCTTGATATCAAATACCATGAACAAATGTACTTTATGGATCAAGGCATACCTGGACATTCACTATCTCAAGAGGCGACAGTGATTTACTACTGCAAGGAATCATTGTGCAGAAATTCTTTGGCTTAGAAGCTTCCATAAAACTGTCAACATTGACACAAGGGATAGATAGTAATGCTGACTTCACACTGGGGAATCTTGGGCTGTTGTTGATCAGCATAAGGACTGCCGAAGAGGATTTTGTTATTTTAAGTTAACCCTGCATTTCTCCAGAGATTTTTTCATCAACTTTCCAGAGCTGAAATGTTGACTGATAAGTGGATATTTATCAAACGGTTTGATTTATGAAATTCATTTTAAAATATGCAGTGAGCTATTACAGTACTTGAAATTAATTTAAAAGATTTACACACACCAAGGGAACAATAAATATGCTTATAAATGTATCACTCCAAAAACCGAAACAGAAAAGAAGTTATGAAACAATGTCTTACACTTCTGGGGTAACAAGACCGTTAAATTGTAAGGATACAGCCAAAAACTACTTATTAAGACTTTCCGAGTGAAAATATGTGAATACACGTATGTACATTGGTCATTGATCTGTGTATTGCATTTTGAGGCTTTAAGGGAAAAAGCCTGTTTGTTTTTTTCCGGAACATCAGAATCATGCATTGTGGAGAGCTTTGCATGAACCAGGTTCATTTAAATGTCATCCCCATTAATACATCAAATTAGATCAGCTGGATTTCAGGGTTCTCATCCTTGTCAGTGAGTGTGTAGATTCCAGGTTTATGAATTTGCCTGTTCAGAATCTTTTGCTTCAGAGATTTGAGTGCTGCAAATAAACAGTTCCTTTGGGAAGAAAATGTACTCAACGCTCAGTACTGAGAAAGTGTATGTCGCTGGGAAAATAAAACAGTAACCTTGCTTTAAAAAACTCAGGAATAACAATAGGTTGCATGTACATGTCCTGCAATGATGTCACACATCCGTAAATGTTTTTTTTAAAGGAAAACGTGGTTTTCCTGCCAGTGGACCTAATGTGGAGCCAGTGAACATTAGACAAAGGAACTTGACGTCTGAGGTTACTCTGCATTTGTGAAAGTCGTGCTTATTTAAGAACAGCTTGGAAATGGTTTTTGATGGAGGGTTGCAAAAATCACATTACAGAAGGAGTCAACAGGCACATTAGTTGTTTTATTTATACTTTTGGTTTCTCTTTTCGAGTGAATTGTCGGATGTGCAGAAATCCAACCTGTGTTGCTCACAATGCTCAGTGAAGAATATCTTTTACACGGAATTTGAAGCATGTATCCCATCGGTTTGCATGAATGTTGTCTGTTGCATCATTTGGGGTATTTTCATTGAGTTTGACATGTCAAGATCAGGCAGTGGTCATTAAATTCTCTGGCTAGGTTGTTGACCTTGCTAGAGTGTTAAGGTAAATTATGCAGGTGGCTGCCAACATGAGTGCCGCTGGATTATGTACCCCGAGAAGAATGATTAACATGTATTTTCACCTTTACCATTACCTTTACATTCACATGATATGAAAGAAAAAGCAGTCCATTCCTAACTGTCTGAAATGGTCCTACATTTTTTTAAGAGAAACTCTGTTTGTCAATGTGAGTTGACACACCCTCTAATGTACAGTACTGTACATGTCACAGACACAAGCATCAGTGTACATGTATGCATGTATGTACATGTACCAATATACCGTGCTGGAGTTTATCATGTAATGAGCATTACTAATGTATATTATGTCATGTCATGCTCAAGTATAGACTGCTGTTGGACTTACAATGTGCATACATGTATGTGTAAGCAGTTGCAAATTACCGTCTACCAGTCGTAACATATATGTACCGGTTGTACTGTACATGTACACATATGTGTAACAGTTGCAAACTACCGTCTACCAGTCGTAACATATACATGTATGTACCGGTTGTACTGAACGTGCACAAAGTAGGGATGTAGAGCAGGTAGGAAAGTAAGGTTGGACTTCTGGTCTCCATAGGGGTCCATACCCTTTATGTCAAAATCGGTTACCCAGCCTGAGAGCTGTACACGCCCACATGCAGTACCATAGAGGCCATTGAGCAGGCATTGTACAGATGCATGTACAACTGTACCATATACCACTCACACTGCATGAACATTCCACAGGAGGACAAAACATATTGTGTTGATTGTTGACCCACAAAGGACATTGTGGCTGGCTCTCAAAGGACCTTGCCTGTATGCAAATTGTCTGGAAGTTGAACCTCATAGGGGATTTGATGAAGGACATTGATTCCAAACCACCTTGTCTGATCATCTGACAACTTACAGGAAATAACATGTACATATAGGGCCTGCATGTGAATATAGACAGGTTGTTCATGCATTCCATGCCGAATTCATACCATTGTCTAGAAATTAGAAAATTGTGACCCACACTTGTGAGATGTTTGTCATTCACTGTTATTTACTTCCATTGCTAGCAATTGAATGTGGGATCTTACTGTTTGTGAAGTTGATTAAATAAAGTTATTCCCAATGCTGACCTTTTTCTGCTTAAGAAAACTTCCTGAATTGCATATATTGTGCACTCCAGTATTAACACAGGTGTACATCCTTTGTACTGTTTTCTTCCGGAAAGACACATTTTTAGTTTTTTTTCGTAGCATGAAAACTCAGACATTCCCAACGGAAATAGTGCATGCAATGAATGACCAGTTTTAAAAAGTTCTTGACAAGTGCATAAGTGTGGGGTGATTAGTCAAACTGACAAGTCGAGGGAGTTATGAACCTTGAGTCAACACTCCCTCTGTCTGTCAGTCATTCCCTGGTCAGTCAGATATCAGCTAGAGCCTAGAGGGGGAAATTCCAACCTGTCTCTGTTTGCAACCTGTAGGTGTTATGGACAAGAATGATTCTGTCAAGCTGCCTTGCATGTACGGTCACTCTGTAAAGTTGTGGTCCCCATTACAGTTTGGTGTCCTTGTTACACCTGACCCATGTAATTTGATAAAGGATACACACACATGTATATCAGTGAAATCGAGTTCATACTTTTGGAAATTAAAGAATGTGTTCTAAATTTACAAAATCACAGGCTGGACGTGACGGGAACAGGAAAAAAATGGACCTTGAATTTATAGCGTGACCCTTAGTCTAATTGCGGATGCTTCAGACATCAAATCTACAAATCCAATAAAGGTTATCAGAATTCAAACACAAAACTTCCAGTTATTCAGAGGAATTTCTTGGTCAATGGTCAAAGACTTATACTTGTATATGTAACTTACAGCTTATCAGAAGTGAAGTCTGTTTTGTATGAATGTGTGTGTTGAGCATTACTTAACAAATATTTAAGAAGTAGAATGCCATTTTGAAACTTGCCTCCCGTTTTGTGAGGTCTGTGCAAAGTCTATTCAGAGTGCAAACTTCATTTTCTGAATGTTGCCCTTATGTCTATGAGCAGAGTTTACATTTACGCAAGTATACCGTACATAATTGTCCTTACACTTTGAAGAGAACATTTGGCCAGTGCCAATAGATCTTATTCATGGGGAAGCCATTTTATCTTGTTCCCCGAATCTATTATATTCAATGTAATCTGTTAAATTTGGTGGTGCCAGACTATTTTCAGTGTCATATCTCAGTTGCAGTTTTTAGACTTTAGAGCATTTACATGTAGATGTGATTTATTATGAATTATGAATTATTCTAAACAATAGCTGACATGAACTGTTAGTTTGTTGCTGTTGGTTCGACTCTCAGGTTTCCAAACTGGAAAATGTAATTTTACTTTCAATTCAAGATGGCCAACACATGAATCCCATTTAAGTCAGAGGAATCCAGAAATGAAATTGTGTTTCTTGTCTTGCCTTATTTGATTTGCAAATGTTCATGCCATCAGGGGTGATGATAAATTAACGGATGATGGACATGTGAAGTGATCCATCACAGTGTTCTATTGCCTAGCCAGTCATTGGCAATACTGTGTTAAGATGGCTTTGCTTGAATGGAGTCTAGGCATTCATGCTGATAAGTAGTTTTGCAGCGTGTTTGTAATGTTCCTTTCGGCTGTAATCGTTGGAATCGTCTTGAAAGAAGACAGTCGTGAAACCATCTAAGTAGACTAACGGCAGGTTTAATATCCATTGGATAGAAGCCCTAATTTTAGACCAACCTACATGTACATTGAAACAAAATACATGTAAGTCACAAGTCACGGACTTTATTTGCTAAATACCTGAAAAAACAGTCTTGAATAATGCAAGTCAGATAACCTCAGCATTTTTCTCCCCAATGTTGCTTACAATCAGCAGGATGGCAAACTGAGCAATGCATTCAAGCAAAGAGCTGAGTTTTCTCCTTAATGAATAATGACATAAATCACTGTAAATGGTAGTCTGGTAACCCGTGTTGTTTCATGTGTTGACATTTTTTCACTGTCCCATTTTATTACTGTGATTAAATGTCTCCCTTTTTCCTCACTTTTTTCTCTTGTGCAGACCGTGAAGACCAATCCATCCTGTGCACGTGAGTTCCATTTTTGAGTCATCAATGTTCAGTGATTCCTTCACATGGCAAGAAATGAAAGGTTTTCTAAGAAGTGTGACGACAATGCACTGGAGATTCAGCTCCACGCTTTCCACATTTTGATACAAATGCCAGCCAGTTGGACAAATTTCATTGCACCCTGGAGATAGTTAAATGTACTGATGGGTAGATGGATTGATTCCCCTGTTTGAAGTTGCAGCTGAGAGTGATCATTCACTTGCTGGTAGTGCACTCCTATATTTCCCTTGATTGTCTGTGTTGTTTGTTACCAGCCAGCTAGAACCCCCTTCCCATCACAATACTTGCAATTATCCAAGATCTCTAAGGATTATCCATCCCATGGGAATTGAATTCGGTGGAGTGTTCCATAGTGCTGTCCTCATCTTTCATTGACACTGACCAAGTGTACTACCCTGACCCTCTCAGAGGTTTCACAAATCAGCAGGAGTTTTAGAGGACTTCACAGGATTGATCAAAGTGGAAGCCTCATAACCCGTCCCTTACCCTGACTGTGCTGCCACCGTGTTGAAACCAACAACATCCAATGGCTATGAATAAGTGGAGCCTGCTGAAGCCAGCAGAGTCCAATAGCTGCAACCAAAGGCCTTTTGTTCAATGCCCACATCAACAACGGCCCTTAGAGAGTGCCCACTGTTGGATATTGTTGGGTTCAGTGTGGTTGGGGTTTGTGTTGTTTACTTTGAGTGTAAGAACCCTTGAAAAATTCAGAAATTACTTGGAAGTATCGTAAGGTTCCTATGTACGATTGAGTTGTGGAGGGTTTTGTTCTCAATAAACTATGTTGGGTGTCACACATTTTAGATGAACCTGTTAACAATTCAGTCCATGCTGTCAGTGAAGGAAAAGGAGCCTTGAAGACACTTGGTGGCAGCAGACAACCAGGCCCCCTTTTCCACAGTTGTGCGTGTGCTGAGAACCATAAGTGCATGCCCCAAATCAAATGCACATGCACAGAACTGTCTAAAAGGACAGGTTTGTCTGTCGCAACCCTGTGTCACTTATTATTAAAGTTAACAACTTAATCACTTAACCACAGAGTATTAAGTTGGGCTTATAAATGTACCATCCGATAATGAAAACTTTTTGGTGTTCCGTGACTTGGTTTGGAAATATTGCACACTCATTCATGTGGTTGACTGGGCAAAGTTTTGCATTCATCACAAAAATTCATTTACTGACAATCGATAAGCCTTCCCCATGCAACCTTATTTCCATGGAACCTTGTAAAGGGTTGTATATCAGTGGGGTTAAACCACATTTTTTGACAAATGACCCACTTCAAGGTTTTCCTGTGCCTCAAAGAACCTGAGAAGAGGAGCTTACAGGGAATAAGGAATGTGACATGACTTGCTTGGGACTGTTGAGAGTGCAGTCTCCAAACCTCCACTGGCAGGTCTTGCAAATCATGAACTGAGTAATAAGATAACCCCTAAAACCATGGTGACAGGACCAAGGGTTCTGTTGTCAAGGCCTGGTCCCCAATGCCCAACACTGAGCTTGCTCGGATTGTCTGGGGGGGGCAGTACTGCCGTATTTTGAACCTGTTGCATTCCTGTGACCTTAACAATACAAGCGGAGATTAGAGATTCAGACTGGCTTAGGCCACTGAATGGAGGAGGCTGGAGTTTTGTCAAGACATTACCCACGCCCACATTCTCAAGTTGATGGAAGTTTGATAATGTATGTTCATGCATGTAATGTTAAAGTAATCTTTCATTGCTGTGAACTCAAGGATTTGGTGGAGGTTTTTGGAGCTTAAACACTTGCACACGCATACTTTAGTCAGCTACTCCGAGGATAGAGTCATTCTGCTAAAACGAAACTTTTTGGCTGACTTTTTGGAAACAAATTTGAGAGTTCAAACCTTTATGACTTGTTGGCCGTATCCTAAAGACCGTCTCACAGTCAATTTTTGGATCCATGAGAAATACATGTACATGTAATTTTACAGAAGTATATGAAAAAGGAGGAAGGGACATAGAGAAGAGCACAGTCATCAAAGTCTTGTCTTGAAGGTGGTGCGCTTAATTTGGCCTGGAAAGTCAAAGATCCGTAATGGACAGGCAAGATGGGATATAAAGCAGAGTACTAGTACTGCTAGCGGTGTGCCACACCCTCAGTCAGAACTGGACTGGGGTGTGTGAGGAACGGGTATAGGAAACCACACCTTGGCAGTGACCAGCAGTGACCTCTTTCTGCTATCCAACCAAAGATTATAACGTCTTAGAGACTGATTAAGCAGTGAAATTGAGACCTGTAAATCTCACTTACTACTCATTGATGCAGGAGGGAAAAGTGTCCAGCAAGTTAATGCCTGATCATGAAACCACATGGCGCATTGTTGGTTGATAGGAAGTTGTAAGATTTACCTCACTGATAAGTAAAAAGGTTCAAACTCCTCAACTTTCTGATGAGCCCTGAGCTTGATTTGTTACCGTTTTCATGTACACTGAAATGTTTACCCCTGCTGAAGAGAAAGGAAATTCAGCACTTTGGCAGAGTCCAGGAGTAACTTTGTAGCGTGCATGCATCGGGCTGTGTGTCAATGAGGATTTTTGCTTTGAATTTTGAAATAGGAAAGTGGTTGAAAATGATTTTTGTCAGAAAGGGACTGGCAACTTGAAGTAAAGAAGTTGTAAAATATTCTCAGGAAAGTGGTTGCTCTTTTCACACAAGTGGATATAAATCTGATTTGATTTTGATATTTTTCTCCTTCTTTCGTTCCTTTTCTCTCTTTGCTTCTTGTTTCCTTGGATACAGTGGGGAGTCTGGTGCCGGCAAGACAGAAAACACCAAGAAAGTCATCCAGTACCTGGCTTACATTGCCGCTAGAAAGGAAGGCAAGGGAGCCAGCGCTTCCCAGCTGCAGGTATATCTAGATTACACACAAGCATCTTACACCGACATACATGTACAATCAGACATGCGTGTAATGTTTTCAAACATTTAGCCAGACGATGGTGAATGTTACGGGAGAACACAAAATTCTTGAGCATTTTCTGTCGGCAGTGACTGGTTTTGTTCGGAAATGGGAAAGTTTAGTGCACGTGACCTGTTCACGTACTTTTACTTTGTGTATCAAGTTGCTTGACAATTGCTTTAATAGCCACGAATTTCAGGACAAGATCTTTAGATGATACTTTGGCAGAAAAGGCACTTTGTTATTCCCTCAGATTTAAATAAACATTCCGGTACTTTAACATGCATCAGCCCATTCTTTCAGTTGCAGCTGAAAGACAACAGTGTCGTTGAGATAGTTGTCGTTCGTAAGTGCAGTTCAAGCTGAATTAGAACTAATAAAAATAGGAAAATTAACAGATGAAAAAGCAGCGTAAAGCAGAACAAAGCAGATTATGTCAGTGCTAACGCTAACTCACCAGTCCTCTCAACTTGTTCAGT